GTAGCATAAACACCATGACAGAGTCCATCATAGGTGTTGGAGTCCTGAGGAACCGGCTTCTAAAATAGAACACGAGCACTGAACAGTTCGGAGCCTCGATTTGCACCGCTGTAGCCGTAAGTAAGAGTAACAGTAACCATTAGTGCATATTTGTCTACGATCGGCGGAGCTCGGAAAATTCTAAAAAAAAGCAACAGAAGTGCAAGGGCATGCAAGGGCTACCAGCATAGCCAGGCTGGAGCTCAAGGTGCAAGCAAACCGTTCCAGCAAGTCGACATGACAAGGGCTCTCAACCCGAACCACACTCTGCATAAGGCGCCCACCAGAATGTCCACTTCATTGCGACCTAGCCGCCGGCCCCGCCATCTCCAAACTGTGACCTGCCTGATTTAATGCTAGACGAAATGCGACCCGACATCTTCGAAGGCTGTTCCCTACGCCGGCAAGCATTGCTTCCCCCATCCGGTCAGCCTACCCTGCTTCCTCGGAAGCCTCTCGACCTAGGCATAAGCTTGCGAAGCCTTGTGCCCTGAATTGGGCTGCTGAAAACCTCTAGCCCCAGACTTCTCCAAACCGCCCACCCACCCGAAACCCCTCACTTGCAGAAACCCCGCAAACTCCCCCAAGTAGCCGCCTTGGCTCCTCTGAAGCCTGTGGAGGCGGCCACAGCAGGAGCAGGCGGCCGAAGCGAGACGGGAGACTTGTCTGAATCCTCACGGGTTTAGGGTTTAGGGTTTAGGGTTTTAAAAGGGAACATGTGGCAGCCTGATTCTTTTGAGGACTCTCGTCCACCTAAGCAGTGGCTTCGATTTGGGGCTTGCAGTCTAGGGTTCATGGCAGGTGATGTGCCGGGCGGAAGTGTGCTTTCCCCTCAAGTCGTGGAGGTTCGCCGCCTAACTCCCTCTCATAGTCGTAGAGCTGCATGAATCCTACAACGATAACGTTCAGCCGTCCTATCACTTAACTCGTTTCGTTCTTTAGGCACCGCCAGCCACGTGGTAATACACCCTTTATCTGATAGTGCAGATAGATCGTACAGCTAGAGGGCTGCAGCTTGAGTATTGGGCTTGGCTCTTGCCGGCTAGACTGGGTTTCTTGGCGGCGCACCGTTAGTGTCGGAATTGCATCCTAAAAGCTGCCATTTCTTGCTCATCAGGCGTGACATTTCTGTTCTCTCACTGCTGATGCGCCGCAGATCCTGAGGAAGCCAGTCCTCGATGTTAGTTATCCAGATGATGGCATAGCCCAGCAAAAACTTCGACAGCAAGAATCCTGACAACCGAACATACACACCCTCAACCCGAACCTTTTAGCTTCAACCACCTCTCATAATCCCAGGCCCTTATCCCCACAGAACCGAACCCTAAACCCTAAACCCTAAACCCTAAACCCTAAACCCTGAACAGCACAGCAAGCAGAACGCTCGGCTGTCGAGGCCTGACCATCGGAGTCTCCCTCCTCGGATTCGGAGTGCGAGCGGTGTAAGGTCTTACATACATGTATGCATAAATAGTATGTATGTACGTTTGTATGCATGCATATATATATACATATATATATATATATGGGCAGCTGGAGATGATGCACATATAGCAGAAATCGGTACAGCACCACGAACATGATCTAGCATGACACAGCATATACATTCCCCAGAGTCGTGCGCTCGATATGCGTGTAAGCCATAGGCGACACATGCGTGCGTGTGTAGTAAGGCATGTCTCCACTCCACATCGTCAGAAACTGTGACTGGCTTCGAACGTTCTCATACTGCGAGGTGCGAGTGCTACATTTCCTCTACCCACGTGTTACACGTGTTCGTTGTGCTTGTGCCAGTATCCGCTTGTTGTGCACGTGTTGTCGATGCTCTCCTTCTCTTTATCTCTGTCTGTCTCTCCGTCTGTCTGCCTGTCTGCCCGGCCGTCCGTCCGTTCGTGGGTCCGTCCGTCCGTCTGTCCGTCGGTCTGTCTGTCTGCATGCGGAGATGTATGGATCCCCTGCGGAGTTTCCCTATGACTGGCGAGGCCACTAGCTGAAAGCTGTGACCTGTTCATGGTGACAACCACGGAAATTGACTAGTGGCGTCTAGCGCTTGCAGACTGCTGGCAGGCTCAAGCCTCCACGCATTGACCTGTCGCTCAATTCGCCCAAGCGTCGCCATCGCTGCCCAATTGGTTCCGAGAGCTTTCTCGCTGCATGTCACCTCAATATGCGAGTGGCAGGAGCTCCGTCGAGATTTCTGGCCCATGCCCATGCTGACCCAAACACCAATCAACAATCTCCATCGGCCTCCCCTGTTGAAAGACTATAGATGATAACGTGGGATTCTTTATCTTCCGAAGCTCCCATATGAAGGAGGCCCATGAAAAGATGCGATACCTCCTGCCGTAGCACTTCAACTTTCGCTCAAATTTATGGGTCACCGGGAACATGCAACGATGAAGCAGATCCGACGAGCCAAGATGCTTCTATTAGTGCTTGCAACCAGTTCTTTTTGCTGGGTATTGATTTTGATATGTCACGGGCTTATGACAAGAAAATCGTAGTAATGGGTCTTGAACATCTCCAACATCGAAGCATCTTCACTACCTTTTGAGGGGAATGTGTCCCCGCCCTGTTTAACCCCGCAAGCAATGGCTTTCATGAACTCACGTGTCCAAGGGGCGTCGATTCTGATTCCAGGGGGCAGGGATGGTAATCCGCTTGCCCTCACGTAACCTCGGTGCTATGGTGACTCAGGGTTTCGAAGCTTGAAGCTCTACAGCCAAATTCCGGAAGACGATTGCCCCACGACAGCTGCAACGACCCCTAAACTCATTGGAAGACCTAGACCCCCAACTACCCTCTATTATCCCCCAAATACCCACTATTCAGGACCAGAGGGCTCTATTAAAGGGCCATTGGGGGGTCCTGGGATATTGCAACCCTTGAGACTGCCCCGGCACAGCAACACGAAGGCTTCTACCCTTGAACTGTTGACATTTGCGCGGTTACACTCACAAGGCTCAACTAATGCCAAATAAGATTCGCTTTAGTATGGTCTTTGGCGACCTTGTACGTCCAGAAACCTTCTTCTACCTTGTCATTCTACCCAGTCCTATAGACCACGGTTCTGTCAAGGCAATGACTTACAAGGTGGCTTCGAACATGGATGGAAGCCTAAAGCATTCAATGTTGCTCGACAGCAATCCACGATCCGAAGCTTCTGTCCTAATCAAAACGGAACTCATGTTGCTTACGCGTTCGGCCCGGTGCAGGTGCAAAGTAGGCTCGGGGCCGCTGTACACTTGTTACCCTAACCCCCCAGGTACCTACCTTTATAGGGCCCTAGGGCTACAGTAGGGGCTCTAGTACCCTACATAGTAGGTACCTGGGGGGTTTGGGTTAGGGCTTCGTCAGGCCAGAAAGCATCATCACGCGAAGCGACTCCCAGTCGAAGCCTGTCTCCACCGACTCTTCAAATTTCGTCTATGGCAGCTTCAACTAGTCGATGCTACTCCCAGATGAAGGGTGGGGCTGCAAGACGGGAACTAGAGGATTTGCTCATGCCTGCCCTACTTGTACCAGGCGTGGAAGAGAACGGCTGGCTCTTCGGCACTATCTATACAACGGTGCAGAACCACAGAACCTACAAATCCCGCTTGCCACGACGACTCCGATCTCTGAACCTGCAGAACAGTCGCCTCTCGAAAAGTACAAGACCTCGTGGCTCGGTCGCTGCTGTGAAGAGCGCATGCAACCCTTGGTCTGAATGTCCATCTGCGCAGGCTTCACAATCCCGAAATAAACCTTCAAAGCATTTCCCAGACCCTCTCTCTCTCTCACACGGACTCAGTCACCTAGACCCTACTTGGAGGATCATGGGACTTATAAATAAGGTTAGAAGTCCCTTATGTTGGGGGTTATAAGTATAGTTACCGTAATTATAACCCTACTTACTAAGTCACATGATCCTTTTAAGTAAGCTCTAAGACGGTCCAAGACCCTCCAAGCCGGAGAAACTCGAGCCATTCCTAACCCCCAGGTACCTACTATATAGGGTTTAGGGTTTTTTCTCTCTCGCATGGCAGAGAACTATATTCTCACAGGCGAGATGTAGGATTTAGGGTTTAGGGTTCCAAGCCTCAGAAACTCGAGCCTTTCCCTGGCAAAGCCGGCCTTCCTGGTCGTGGCCCTCTGGTCGCGGGCCACGAGCCCTCGAGGATTCGCCTCTTGGCTTCGGTGGAGAGAAGCTGAAATACTTGGGGGCTCATGGGCAGGTATACATGGGGTTTTAAGTAGGGTAACTATAACCCATATTAGGGGACTTATGAGTCCTACTTGGGGGTTCATGGGCAGTTATAAATGGAGTTATATAAGTAGGATAACTATAACCCATATTAGGGGTCTTGTAACCCCAATTTTTTACTACCCATGAACCTCCAAGTACCATTAAGGGACTGGGGGCTTGGCTGTGAAGGTTCCGTTTCAGTGGACCGACCTGGGCTGAGGGACCACTCGAGATCACTCCAGCGGCCGGTCAGCCAAGCGCCTCCTACCACGCGCACATCTGCGGAAGCAGTATGCAGATGTTCTCAAGAGCCATTCTGTCTCTAGGTGTTGCATCCGATAACTGTCTGCGCGGCTTCAGTGCATGGGCGTAACGAAGCGTACATGCCCAAGCCTCACTTGGGTGCAAGTATGGGGGTTTCCGAAAATAGGGGACCCTAATATAGTACCCTAAATAATAGGATCCCTATTATAAGGACCCCCAAATAAGGTACCCCTCATTTTCTGAAACTCCCGTATATCTGCTACATGGGAACCCAAAGGGTCTAAGTACTAATATGGTAGATACTTTGGGGCCCAAAATACCTACTATATGGGTAGTTGTCAAAATTGTGGTCCCTTTTGGGGTACCCTAAATAATAGGTGCCGTATTCTAATAAGGACCCCAAAAGGGACCATGATTTTGACAACCACCTATATGGGTACTTAGACCCTTTGGGGGAGGGAGTCTGGGCCTCCACCTTCGGCCATGTCTGCATCGGCACCTGGAACAAGGCCTCCCACGGGCCAACCATCACCAACCTGGTTTAGGGTTTAGGGCTTCGGGTTAGGGTTTAGGGTTTAGGGTTTAGGGTTTTAGGGTTTAGGGTTTAGGGTTTAGGGGGCTTCTCGGATCTGAAAAGGGAATTCAACACTGTAGCAGGCAGGCGTCTCCCATACAAGTACGCCTGTCTGCCTGCCTGCCTGTCTCTGACTGTCTGTCAGCATGTCCGTCTCTGTTTCTAGTGTGCCATCCAGCCATTCAGCTATCCATCCATCTTGTCATCCGTCCATCCGTATGCATATAGGCATCGCAGCATTTGTCTGACTGTGTTTTGTGCAGGGGTGGCATGGAGGGGCGGTGTGTTCAGAAGCTATGCAAAACTCTTAAGTCATGCAAACTCAGGAGTATGCAGCAAACCTGAAGAGCAGCTTCAGGCAGATCTCATGTCCGCAAGCCACACATCCCAAAACCCGAACCCCCTAAACCTGAAATTCATCAACCCCCACACAACCCCTCATCAACCCCTAAAAAGAGACCATCTGCCTCTAAACCCACTATGAAGGCTTCTACGCTGTCCCACCTCACTACTTCTCCGGCGCTGCGAATTGCGCCGCTGGCTCTTCTGCATCCAGCTGCGTCCCAGGGCCGCTGCATCCTCCCCATGTGCAAGTAGACTAGGACTAGGTTTATGTGGGGCCTGGGCCGTGATTTATGGTTACAAAAGCATAAATCTTGAAGGATCTATGAAGGTTCAGGTGTGAAGTTCATCTGTTTGGGGGTCTAGTGTTTATACGGGGCCTTCAGCGGTTTGGATTATGAAATACCCATACGAATCCTGGGTCTCTAGGGTTGGGCTGTAGGAAATTGATGTTGATTACTTCTGCCACCTGATTAGCGGAAAACTGCAACAGGAGAGATCTAGCCACAAAACGGGAAGTGAAAAACCCCGGCCATGATGTACAGGCCTTAACGAGTACGTAGAACAGTTGCGGAATGTGGTAAGCTGGTAAGCAAAAGGACTTTTCAAGGTTAGAAAAAACGGACATAATTTTGTCATGGTTTGTCTTGTTGGGCCCCCCGCCGTATCACCGCGAAGCCCTCATCCAATCAATGGAGTCGCCAGAGTTCATTCCCAACCCAGTTTGAGACTCCGGCAATGAGATGTACAGCAGTGGCAGCGCTTCGATTAATGGTAACAGTAAACAACAAAAGTAGTTCGCTACATAAACTGCCCATCGCAATCATCAAGTCTATGACGTGTGATGGCAAGTACCTGTGAAGTACCTGCATGATAAAAGGTTGATCCCCTGGAGCAATGAAAGACTTACTGTAAAGCCCTAAGCCAGCACCCCAAAGCGCCAAATCTAAAACCTCAAGCCAGCACCCGACACCCCAAACCCTGAAACCTTAACCCTAAAACCCCCCGAGCCCTAAACCCAACACCCTTAAACATGTGAGCACGCATGAAGAATGAGCGACATTGATAGACCCTGAATAGCCAGATCCTTTCCATCAGGACCCCGAATAGAAAGCCTCGATGATAGATTCCTTGCCTGCTTTAGCGGACTCAGTAATTGGTACAATGTTTTGGTGCATATTCTACCACAATTATAGCAACGAGCCCCCCTTTGGTGCCAAGGAACAGCAGCACCCAGTACAATAATTACCCCTCTCCCTATATTGAGACTTGCCCGTCCTTGTCGTCAAGCTCCACACGCTCGCCACGGTCCTTCTTGCGCTGCTTCTCGCCTTGGTCCACCCCGCTGCGTGAGGAAGTCGGGGGGTTCTTCTGGGAGTTCTCTTCGGTTTCGGAAAAGGATTCCAACAATATCCTTACATGAGGGTCCTCACAAGTACTTAGGATCAGCCTCCTTCGGGTTCTATATAGGGGTCCCTGTAAAACCTATATATGCTGTGAAGCTAACAAAGGCAGATCGAGAACCCGTGCCATCACGCCCTTCGTGCTGATGCAGTGGAGCTAGGCAACATCGGCGAAAACTAGAATCTAGAGTCAACTGGGTAGTTGTCAAAATTATGGTCCCTTTTGGGGTACCCTAAATAATAGGTGCCGTATTATAATTATAGGACTATAGGACCCAAAAAGGGACCATAAGATTGACAGCCACCCACCTCGACAAGCTGAACTTCAGGCTCTCTACTCCGGAATGCCGAGGTTTGTGTGAAGTCCTCGTGCTCTCTCGTGCAGTCCGAGCATCGAGCAGCTTCCAGCAAGTCGCCGAGAATTGTGTTCATGCCCCTGTGGGCGGCATGCATCTCCCGGCGTTACTTTCAGCACCGATGCCGCTCGTGGATACTGTAGAGCTGTCTGGCTACTAGGCAGGCCTAGAGTTTTGAGGGAACTGAAGTCTGGCTCTTTGCCACATTTACGGAGATAGGGAGCAGGCATCGCTTCAGGGTTCGCGCAACGGTGTGGGGAAGGGGCCGCCAGCTCTAATGTACAGTAGGGGCCTTAATAATTGGAATAGGGTTTTGGGCTGCTGGGCTTCGCTATACTATAAGTATATGAAGGAATCCCCAAAATAGTATTAGCAAGTATAACGTTATAACTATTTAGACCCCTACATTAGTGACTCTAGTTTGTACATCTTCTTCGGGAGACCGATTGACCATCTCCGCAAATCCTCGGCAACACGCAGGGAAGACCCGAACATCTCAGACTCCCCTAGACCCCCCAACTACCCTCTATTATTCCCCAAATACCCACTATTAAGTACCATAAAGGCTCTATTAAAGGGCCATTGGGGGTCCTGGCCTGAGAGCATCTCATACAGAGGAAGCTCAAGGGCCCAAATCCCGAAGCATCAACCTGAAATCCTCAAACGCGACCCTAAACCCAATCGTTGGAGTGTTGGCCAAGTCTACGAAGCCCTTGGACAAAGGGCCAGATACCAAGAGCTTTGCGACCCCTAAACCCTGAACCATATAAACCCCAAACCCTAAGCCCAAAACCTCCAAACTGCCAAGCTGCTTCTTTTTGGCCTGGGCCGCTTCGTCACTGTCGTTCGATGCACCACGCGCAAAAATCTCGGCAGATGTGATAGGGTTTAGGGTTCAGGGTCTTTTCCTCCTACATGGCAAGGACGAGCCCGCATTGCAGGGTATGTTCAGTAGCTTTGGCAGAAGCAACAGAAGTCAGCTCACATCCAGCTCGATTTAGCCAGCGGCAAGAGACTTCTAATTATGAAAACAGGGCCATCAAGGTGCCTAAGCAGCCATTGCTCAGTACACGCACAGTTTCACTTCTTGTCTAGGGTTTAGGGTTTAGGGATCTCAGACTCTAAGTTCCCTGAAGTTGCGGCCCCGGCGGCAAAATGTGTAAGCTCTCGGTGCAACAGCGCAGCCTGCAGCCCTCACCCTATGACCAGAAAAAGCGTCATGAAACAGAAAGGGGGTGTCTCTGAAACCAACCGGACTAATAGACGGAATCTGCGCCTCAAAGCACACGCCCATTCGTGGATGCAAGCACAAAGTCTGAAGTCAAGCGGCTATGCTGTCCCCCGTGTCAGGTGTTGGTAGTCCTGCAGCGATATCGACTTATGACGACTTGGCATGTCGGCTGCTAACTACTTGTCTAAATTTGCTCTCTATGCCTCTATAGCATCTGGGCTTTAAGCCCAAGCCCCCCCGAACAACTAAAGTCAAAATCCCGAACGGAACTCACAAGGTGACGCAACAAACAGTGACTCGAATGGAAGATCTAGGAAGTCCCTGTTGGCAGCCGGCTCTGGAAGCACACCAGGAAGCTTTAGTATGCTTTATTCAGCACTTGTGATTCACTGCGAGCCAACTTCGACTCTTGAAGCCCCACAAACCCCAAGCCCCAAACATGTTCGGATCATTTGAGCCCTGCGGCTTCTCGCTCGCGCTATTGCACGTGCCTCGTGAACCCATCGAAACAACGAGCATCTTCCGTTTCCGGACATGCAGACTCCGTCAGAAGTGCTGTCAATATATCGGGATTGCAACCATGGGACACCCCGCGCTGAAACATGGAATCCTTCAGCCCCTAACCCCCCAAGCCCCAGCCGTGTCCTGCATGTGTTCCATCCTCGCGGCTTAATTTGCTTGGAGCTTCTGCTTCAGCGTTTGTTATTTGTGTTTTGGTCGCCGGTCGCCCTGGTACTGCTTGCGACTCCTCATGCTACTGCTACTACTCCTGCTGCTGCTGCCACTACCACCGCCAGTGCTGCGGCTGCTTCTTGTCACTTCTTCTCCAACTGCCGGCGGCACTACTACAACGACGACGACCACGGCGACTACTCCGACCTCAGCCTCTTGACTGTTTTGCTGCTTCTGTCGCGGGATCAAGTATGTCATCTCGTAACTCGGGCAGAACTCAGACCATGTCGTCAGTCTTGGAATGACGGCCGGTACATGTCAAAAACCGCCCGGGACTGCGTCTAAGCCTCTGTGACGTCGAAAAAAGGATCTTACAGCTCCAAACCCTATAAAACCCTAAACTTTCGGTCCAGGCCGGTGGCGCCGGAGGAGCCTGCAGACTCCTGCTGCGAGGCGGAAAACTACATGCCCCGACCAACCCTGAACCTTAATCCTGAGCCCTAACCCTGAGACCAGAGATTGAAGTCAAACCAGGAGGAGATTTTGGCCGGGCTGCTTCCTCATATCCTTGTCTGTACTGCCACGCCTCTCTCAAGGTTCCTTTTGCATCTTCTTGCAAGTTCTTCCAACTGATACCACGCCCGTAAGGCAACCCTGATTCTGGATAGTTGGCTGGGCCTAGTCTTTCCACCAGCGCTACATGGTCTTTCGCAAACACAGGGTGACAAAGAGGGGCGCAACCCTGATCCCCACTCGCAGCCGGCACTAACTGCACTAACTAACTATGCATCGATGCACCCACCGACTGGAATATGTGGGGTCCCTATGTTGCCTATGTCTGTTGGGACACCGGGAGGTTCAGTATTCGGCTTCAATTTGGGCAGGATGAAACCTAAATCCTGGACCCCGAAACCAATCCGCCCCTGGGAGGTTCTCGTCTCCTGGTTGCGGTCGATCTCGTGAAGGATGCTGTTCCTTAGGGCGTGGAGGGCTGATAAGGGTCATGCCTTATGAGTTTGTAGTTTCCGGTCGATGACGATTTATGGTTTCGGACTTCGATTAAGGTGTTTCAGCCTTGTGCTTGCGAAGCAGCAATCTTGGATTCCTGTGACAGGCACTTGGAAGGTTCAGGCTACCCAGGCCATTAAACAACACACGCCGTCGTCTCCACGGCAAATGGAGGCTCAGTGACCAGATGTCTGCTGTCCTTTCAGATACTTCTGTTGACATCCCGCTCGAGACACAGCTGCAGCTTTGCATTGAATTGGCTCCTGGTGCATTCCTGGATTTGCAGCATGTCTTGGAGAAGCTTGGCTGCAAGCTCCCGCGCCGTTCTTGCATGAAGATCATAGCCGTCGATGTGCTGGTATGCAAGGACATAGGACCATGGCAGATCATGAAAATTCAATGAGCGGTGTCTCAATATGCATTCAGCGCCCAAGCAACATGTTGCACATTATTCTGCTTCTCGCACAAACAAGATTTGCCTCGACAATGCATGCAGGCCGTGCAACCTAAGCCCTACGTTCCTAGGGCATTCGCACTAACTTCTGGTTTCAGGGGGTGACTTTTCAAGGGCCCCCAAAGTACTTATGAAGGCGTATCTCGAGATGACCTTGAAGGAGCACTCAACAAGTCTCCCGAAATGTCACCCAATTTCCGCAGCCGTGTCATAACCCAGTAACCCCCCCCCCCAATAGTACCCCTCATGCTGAACTCTTGATACACCCCAAAGGGTCCAAGTACTAGTATAGTATGTACTTTTGGGGCCCAAATACCTACTAAGTACCTACTATAATGGTACTTGGACCCTATGGGAATAGTACCCCTTATGCTGAACCCTAAACCCTAAACCCTAAACCCTAAACCCTTATGCTGAACTCTTGATACACTTCTTGCCACGGCACAGCATCAACTCCTTTGCCGACCGCTCCCGGGCCCCACCGCCGGATTCGCTGTTGCGACGGAGAGCGCCTCTCAAGCCGTGGGTCCAAGAAGGATAGGGTTTAGGGTTTAGGGTTTAGGGTTTAGAGGAAGGAGTACGAGTAGTGTTGTTCCTTAAGTTATTAAGGCTCCATGTATGTAAACAAGTAAGCGAATGAACAACTAAACGAGCAAATACACGCTAGCTACATGAAAGATTTGTTTTTTTTTCTCTCTCTCTCTCTATATATATATATATACACACACATCATGCATGGCGATGTGATTTGAGGTTTACAGCTTGGGTCTGCGGCTGCGGAAGAAAGCCAAGCCTCTGAGTCCGCTGTCAAGCCCCATGTGCATGTTCATCCGAACTGGTAAGCCACCAGGCCCCAGCCCCGGCGCCCCAAAAACCCTACAGTTCTAAAGCCTACAAGCTCTCGGCCAACTTACTCTCTCAGGCCCTAAACCCTAAATCCGAAAGCCTGA